TAATAGTGAAATGTAGGTTGAAACTAAGGAGTGAACCCCACGTATATTAAAAGATTATGTATATAAGTGGAAAGATTGGAAAATAATGGTTTATTAAATTCTGTTATAGAAAAATTCCAGAAATGTGATGTCCTGATAGATTGGCAACAAAAAAACCAGTTGAATCATTCCATACAAGCGACATCCACACGTAGGAAAATTCAGACTATGATAATACGCAAGAAATGCATTGGAAAAGAATTTGGTTTAAGCTCTGAACTTACTTCTTCAAGCAGTAAGCCTCATAACTGTGACTCCCTTAGAAAAAAATGGAAGGAGAATCCAGACTCAGTTGATCATGAGAGATACTATGCGAGAAAGAGACCATCTAACCATCAAGGAGATGGAAAGTCATTCTGCCATATCTCATCCAATGCTGGAGTAGAAACCTGTGGATGGAAACATTGTGTGAAAGCCCTCTGTCAAAAATCAAATGTCACTGTTCACCATGGAATTCAGAGTAAAAACAAAGCCTCGGAAAGTAATGAATATGAGGGGAAATTCCATGGTAACTCAGTCCTTACTCAAGAAGAGGAAAGTTACAGTAGTGATAAGTCTTACGATTGCAGTCAGTGTGGAAAAACATTCAGCCAGAAGTCTTATCTCCTTAGACATCATAAAACTCACACGGGAGAGAAGCCTTATGAATGTAAGCAGTGTGGGAAAACCTTTTCTCAGAGCACATATCTTATTGCACACAAGAGGGCTCATACTGGAGAAAAACCTTATGAGTGTCACCAATGTGGAAAACACTTCAGCTACCAGTCCTCTCTCGTTAGGCATCGTAAATTTCACACTGGAGAGAAACCTTATGAATGCTTAGAATGTGGGAAATCCTACTTTGAGAAATCACACCTCATTGTCCATCAGAGAATCCATACAGGAGAAAAACCATACGAATGCAATCAATGTGGGAAAGCTTTCATTTCAATATCAGTTTTTGTACAACATGTCAGAACTCATACTGGTGAGAAGCCCTATGAATGTAATAAATGTGGGAAAAGGTTCACCACCAGTTCGTACCTCTTTCTACATGCTAGAACACATACTGGTGAGAAGTGTTACAAATGTAATGAATGTGGGAAAGGTTTTCTCCAAAAGGTACAACTCACTGTGCATAAGAGAATTCATAGTGGAGAGAAGCCCTATAAATGTACTAAATGTGAGAAGGCCTACAGGGATCACTCATCCCTCAATCATCACATAAAAATCCATGATGGTGAGAAGCCCTTTGTGTGCAGTGAATGTGGGAAATCTTTCAGCTATCAGTCATTCCTCATTAAGCATGAGAGATACCACAGTGGAGAGAAGCCCCATGAATGTATGGAATGTGGGAAAGCATTTTTCTACAACAGGGAACTTACTATACATCAGAGACGTCATACTGGGGAAAAGCCCTATGAATGTTCTGAATGTGGCAAAGCCTTCACTAGCAGCTCCTGTCTTAGGCTCCATGGGAGAACCCACACAGGAGAGAAGCCTTACCAGTGTGGTCAGTGCGGGAAGTCCTTCTCCCAGAATGGACAGCTCACTGCACACTGGAGAACACATGCTCAGGAGCGAAGCCTTTAATGGATGAATTTGAGAGCAACACATGACTGTCAAACTGACGGGGAGCTCTGATGGCTAGTGCCTAAGGCATTTGACTGCTCAACAGAAGGCTGGCGGTTCACACCCACCAGCCACTCCTTGGAAGGAAGACTGAGCAATCTACTTCTGTAGTGATACCACCTCGGAAACCCAAGGAGGGGTCACTATGAGTGGAAACTGACTCTATGGCAGTGAGTTTGGTTTTTGTCAAATTGATGATGTAATAGACACAAGTTAGCTGTTACTACGTTAGAGGAATAACCAGAGCACCTTATTAATTTGTTATAAACCATTG